ATGGTTTAGGGCTTCTATTCAATTAAGGTGGAAAAGTGTATTAATATGGAGGTATTTGTGTATATGATAGCAAGGTAAAAGAGGCTGAGAATGTCCTCAAACTTACTGATCTTGATTTTCGAGGTCTATTTCTGCCGGGTTGCCATTTCTCATGGGCATATCGACGTGGAGCAGCAAGACAAACAGCCCCTAGCGCTGTTGAGGAGTCACGAGGATCATATAATCGCAAGCGCAGAATTTGAAATCATAATTGCCAGTATGTATTTGTGGAATAAAGCCAGATATTATTCCTGTCATAATTATACATGATAGTATACACATCTAATAAATGACTATTTGAGGTCAATACACATTGTCTACATTAAAATTTTATAGGGAAATTATCTCAGTTCTGTCTTACTTTTACTTCTTTATATTCGCTTTTTTTCTTCTCTTCATCTCCCTCTCTCATTCTCTATCCATCTACCCCCAATATATCTATTTATGTATCATGTCTATCCTTTCTCTCTCTCTCTCTCTCTATCTCTCTTTCTCTCTCTCTCTCTCTCTCTCACTCTCTCTTTCTCTCTCTTTCCCTCTCTCCCTTTCTCCCTCTCTCTCTCTCTGTCTCTTCCACTCTCTCTTGTTATATCTCTCACTCTCTCTCCCACTTTTAGCAGTTATATTTTACATTTTGTTTGATTATTTGTTTTGGTCATTATATGTAGCGTATTTATACTACTACACTGTCGCTCATATAGTTGGAATATATATTTTTTTTAGCCCCAATTTATGGAATTATTTTGACAATGATTTATTCCTAATAGATCTAGATAATAGTATACATTCTCGGATTTTATTGAATAATAATTGTCCAGTGTTTGTTTTGCGTGACTGCTAAGGCATGTGTATGCACTATGCTTATCAACTAGGGGACCTACATTTTCGAAAAGTTACACGTACTATCTACTACAATGTTTGCCTTATTTCTATATTCAACTGTCTATCCATCAACCCACCGATATATCTCCTACCTACAGATTCATCTATCTATTTATATATCCCTCTCTTTATCTCTCTTACACTTTTGGCCGTAATAATTGTTTGCTTTGTGTCATTTATATGTTTGTGTCAGTGTAGTGAATATGTATTCCGTTTTTTTTTCTAGGTATAAAGTCAGTATTTTAAGTCAGCGAACCTGCCTACAACATGCCTAGCTTTCTAGTACGTATACTTGTAATCATCATAATTATTTACAAAACATTCCTTCATGCTATAAATAACAAGGACTCATTACTGTCTTACTAAATGTTTCAAGCTTTGTAAACTGTGCAGGGAATCTGGATAAAAGCAACCATCTATCAAATAATCAAAGTATACCCTCCACCACCATTATACCTATCTTATTACGTTAGATAAATTTTATCATATTGCAGTTATAAACAAAAATCATTATTTTGTTTTACAAAAACGTGGGTAACTAATCATAGAAAGGAAATAAACAGTATCATAGGGTATTGGTTCAGGATCCGATAATTTTGTTGTTGTAATGTGGTGTACCGCATGGATCAACAGTGGGACCGTTTATGTTCATCTGTTTATATTACAAATGACATGATTTGCGCCTGGGATTATCCAGAAAAGGACGTTTGAGTATGCCTAATTTGTCCACTTATGCGACCCCCCTCCCACTCCCATCTCTCTCTCTCTCTCTCTCTCTCTCACTCCTCCTCTTTGTGACCCTCTCCCTCCCCCTCTTGTACTGTTATTATCATTCAATACAAATATAAATAAATAGACAGAGAAAAAAAGTACATATTTCATTTAAATTTTCCCCTCACATATAAACTCTCTCTCTCTCTCTCTCTCTCTTACCCTCTCTTGCCCGCTTCACATGTACTGTAAGTGCGTTTTTAATCACCTTCCTTGTTGCCTTGAAGATTCATTTTCACTTTTGTTTACTTCTTTCTCTGTATTTATTCACGTCATTCCGACTTTCAGTCGGAATATACGATTACGTTTTGTTAATTTTTGTAGCAAGGATGAAAACATTATAGTTCGCTGCCTTGGGCTAAATGTTACACCTCTGTAATCACTTTCCTCTGTGGCCGTTGGAATGTTTGCATATTATGTTGTTGATAGTTTAGATCTACCTCGCCATCCACCAGCAAGTCCAGCGAAGAAAAGAAAAATAGTAAGGGCCGTCGATCTCTGCATCAACGTTGTAAAATTTGTGCCTGGCTTGATTATTTGAGAAGACGGTGAAAGTTATCGGTACACGCCCCCAGCGATATGGCGTATCAAATAAGCAGTCTATCATTGTTAGGTGGCGCTCTCAGTTCAATTGCAAACCCGTGACCTGAGACGCCCAGCAGTTGAAGTAGAAAATCGATCGACTGCAAGACGAGACGACGAGAAAAAAATATGTTGGTTTGCTGATTTCTTGCAAGGGATTTGTTCTTCTTCAGTTATCCCCATGTTTTCTTTTCTTTTCAGAGTATGATTATATTCGTGTATTTGTTTTTTCTCATTGTTGTAGTCTTGCTTCGGGCATTTACACCCGAAAATGTTGAATAAACATTTAAATTATACATATTATTAGGCAAAACATATTGTATCAACTATGAATAGACGGTTTGTTCTACAACATCGAAAAACAGTAGAGAAAAGAGACATACAAAAGCTTCTTCTTTGACTCTTATCGCAATAAGTGACTCAAAAGAAAATAAAGCTTAAATGGACATTATGTACCATCTTTGTGGGCTCTTTTTTTACACGTACATGTCACAGTTGTAAAAACTATCTACCTCAAAACAAAGGCACTGAAAGTTCACCTGTTGTAAGCTCACATCAATTTGGAGAATATGATGATACGAAATTATCTGCTATCGTTGCTGAATGAAATACAAATATGAATACTCAACAGCTTCAACTTAAGTTTTTTTCCAGATTAAAATCACTCTTGAAAGTTACCTTTTCCACAGGACTGATATGTCAAAATCATTTCGACACAAAATTATAAGCATTAAGCTAAACATGTACACATATATATGTAATATATATATATATATATATATATATATATATACACACCCACCTACATGTATCTCTCTTTTCCTCTCATTTGCTCCTCCACCTAGTAGAGATCGTTCCTTTAAACCTCTCTTATATATATTCCTCCGTCTTAATTATTGTAAATGTACCTTCTAAACTTCTTTATCTCCAAATTTCCATGTATGATTTATCTTGCTTCTGCTCCCAATCTTCATTTCTCTCTCATTCTCTCTCTACCTCCCTATCTTTATTTCTATCTCCCTACGTCTTACTCTCCCACCCCATAAACCGATTTATCTTTTTATTTCGCCAGTACCGCCTGAGTCGAGCTAAAAATCATTTGTCCTTCTTGTTTGTATCTGCCCACCATTAAATTCATCAAGATGATGATTTCCCATGTACAATTATTTCAATAAGTGTAAGTTATATATTGCCTTTGTATTTTTCCCCCGCAGGCTAATTGAATAAATAAAGGAAAAATATTGTTCGTCCCATGGCAACTATCCGTTTACATCGATTGAATTAAGATATTTTCCATTCTATGAAGGCCACGTGGAAAGAGGGAATCTACGAAATACACAGTGCATGAACATAAACATAAATTTATATAAAATGTATCATATAAATTTGTTGAGTTAACTGGACATCTATATAACCTCACATGGTACATTAATTGGACATCATCAACACGGGTCTATTATTACTACCCCTAACCCTTACCCTAGCCCTAATCCTACATTCAAAACAATACATTTAATAAAAATAATGAATAATGCTTCAAACTTTTTTTTTTTTTTTTTTTTTTTTTTTTTTTTAGGGGAGGGGGGGGGGGGGGGTGGGGTTTGCACAAGAAATCGCCAAATTCAACGTCATTAATATCACTTGCAATGCATTTTATGTCAACTTTGAAATAGTTTTGAAATAGTTGTTGGTAGTCTAATGCATCCAAAAATGCATTCTTTACACTTTCGAACACTAATACGTGGATAAATCAACAAATATGAGACTATGGCACTATTTTAAATGCATGTCTGTACAATGTTATGCACTATATTAGTCTAAATTATGTTACCAGTCTTTGTAAACAACAACGCACATGATTAATTAACATGGATGTAACACCTCATTCACTTAAATCACCCAATGTATCTATTTCACCATGCAACCAAAGGTGTCTACCCTCTAAAAAAATATTATTCATGAATTGTTAGTGATACACATTTATTATTTTCATTTTCTTAAGATGATAATGTTGTCAAATTTCAGCATTCATCCTAATTTGATAGTTTAAGCAAGTGAAGTACATGCATTAAACGACATAAAAAGGTGTCTAGGCATTTGCGAGAGCCCATTATGGCTGCATTCATTATTGCAATTGCTTAAAAAAAAATCACAAATGTAAAATACTGAGTATTTAGCAATCGAAACTACTTTTAAATGAAGGCGAGAGTCAAAAACTCTTCCCTACATGACACAACAACATCAACAACAATCAAAACAATTACAAACAACAACAATGGCACCAATCATCTTCTCAGCGAAAGATGTAAGGTGTCAAAGTATTAATAGCCCTGTGACCTAATGATCCTAGTTGTATGAAAGGCGATGCAGATGCTCTAGGGCATTGCATATTTTTGGATCTTAAGACTTCCATTTATAGTACCACCCTCTTTGTGGGGTTAGCCAAAATGTTTTACACATGTTGCGCATTCTTCTCCAACCCCACTTCGCTCTCGATTCATATCGACCGCCGTCACAGCGATCGATGCCCTCCTTAAAGACGGTTCCTTTTAACGGAGCATTAAGTGTCAATCTGTTGTTCCCGATGACTCGTGTCTTTCTTCCCCCTAATGAATACCATCATTGTACGGCTTCCATTGTTCTCCATTTGTGACAGCTAGAGATTCTTTCTTGGGGCAGATTAGTAGAAGCCCTTGAGGGTATTTATAGGAAATAATTGCAAACAGCCCCTACCCAAATCCCTCAAACACCAAACAAGATCACGTATTAGAGGACCATACATAATAGATTTGGCAGGACCGTTATGTTTGCTCATGTGCTCAAGAAGAAAACATGAACCGCGAGGAAGTGTTCTTGATAGGTGTATTCATAGAAACCATTCAACATCATAATTTCATCTTGTTGACAACGTTCTTCAGTTCCAAGAGAGAGGTTTCACCATTCCCCCTTGCATTGCTCGTATAGCCTCTGGCGTTGCATTCGAATTCGGCATCTCTGATTGTCCAACATGGATGACATGGAAAGGACGCAACCAAAGTTTTTGACGGACGATTGGTAGTTTTCTTCGGGTCCAGGTACGTTGGTTCCACCTTATACAATTATGGTTCAGATTCATATCTATAATTCAATCTTAATCATCCTCTGTTCGGAGTCAAAAGGGCGTTAACCCTCTGCTTACGGGAACCTGGTGGTCCCTGTGTTAAGCCTATGGGACCTATAACATTCAGTAGTCAACGGGTTTAACTCATCTGATGATCTGTTGTTGTATTCAAACACTCCACGGAAAACGTACTCTGTCGGGGTTCTTCATGACAGTGCAGTATATCAATAAAGTAGCTGCGTTTGATATATTTTTATCAAATGATTATTGAATTCAATGACCGGGGTGATAGTACACTGTTGGTCATAATGGTGGAATATTTATTTTTACCCCAGTTTAGGGAAGGATTTTAAATATCATTTATTTCTAATAGATCTAGATAATGGCATGCATTCTCAGATTTTATTGGATATTAATTTGCGAGTGTTTGTTTTGCGTGACTGCTTAATCATATGTGTGCTAATATGCTAATCAGCTAAGGGACCTACGTCCTGAAGTCATAATTGACAGTAATGAGGATTAATGCCTCACAAAAGGGCACTAATATATAGCTGATCGACACGATTTTTATCCTGGGGCCTCACAGTAACGAGGCCATTGATTAGCCCCTGACTCATGACTGTACGCAGTGTTTGCTAGGGTACGCGGCCCCTTTCTCAAATCCCCCAAAACGAAGAAAATGCAATAAATTATCAAAAATTCATTACATTTTCCCCCAGCCCCCAACAGGAAAAATTCCTCTGTAGGGCCATACATTATGGTTCAAGGCATAGCCACACAGAGTAATTTTTCCTGTTGGGGGCCGGGGGGAAATGCAATGAATTTTTGACAATTTATTGCATTTTCTTCGTTTTGGGGGATTTGTGGGGGCGGCCGCGTACCCTAGCAAACACTGCGTACAGTCATGATTCAGGGGCTAAGCAATGGCCTCGTTACTGTGAGGCCCAAGGATAAAAATCGTGTCGATCAGCTATATAAGTGCCCTTTTGTGAGGCATTAATCCTCATTACTGTCAATTATGATTTAAGGACGTAGGTTCCCTAGCTGATTAGCATAGTAACACAACTATGATTTAGTAGTCACGCAAAACAAACACTCGCAAATTAATATTCAATAAAATCTGAGAATGTATGCAATTATCTAGATCTATTAGAAATAAATAATTTTTTTTAATCCCTCCCTAAACTGGGGTAAACATAAATATTCCACCATTATGACCAACAGTGTATATATGTAAAACTCTTAGCATAACTGTATAGCTATATAATACCTTATAATTTCTTTAATTCGTAAAAATGTGTCTTCAACGAAGGTGATTCTTCTATACATGTTATTATTATTTCTTCTTCAACAAATCATTCCATATCAGTATTAAGGTCTATAAAATCGGTAAAAATATGGTCATTAATAAATGCATCCATACATGTATGTTTGTGAAGCTGTATCTTTAACTCACGAGGCGTATAGCAGGTCCACTGTACGTTTTAGTCTTTCTATTCTGTCCATTTTATAATTATCACTAACACCAATTAGATGTCTTCGATTAAGTCCCTAAGGGAAATATCACCATGGAAACTATGTTATAAAAAAATATTGAAGGCGACTGGAAAAAATTCCCTTGCGCAAGCATAGCTTATTCTTTAGATTTTCCTCGTATGATTTCGTTGTCTATTTTGTACGTATAGGCATCTTCAAATATTTCGTATCATGCAGGAAATACTTAGCTATGCCATAGGAACTCATATGTATACTCGTGTAACTGTTTCTGCCACTTCTCCACTGGGCTATGTTTGAGCTCATGTCAAATTGCATGTGTATTAAACAATTAATTGTGTGTGGATGGTGCTGTATTCTTAGAACACAAAATGGCTTTTAAAGCAGGGAATCATCTGGTGAGCGTCGCCGGAGAAGGCAAACCAGTCTTTGTGTGGAAAAGAAAGTGCAATAGACCAGGTGCAACTGTGAGTCATCAGTCACAGGTAAGAATTCGCAAAGTAGTGTTAAAACTCATGATTTATCGCTGTGACAATTATACTAGATCGTGTAATGAAGCTCAAAGTTTTTTTTTCAGAAAAAAAAGAGAAAATGAATTCGGTGCTTTTTTTTTTAAATAATAAAGGGCAAGTCTAAAGAAGCAAACATTGATAAGAGTGGGTCAGGGTGCGTTTGATCAAAATCCGATTTAAAATATATATAAAAGTTAATCATTTTTGAAGTTGCGATCAATCGAACACAAATTAAACATTCTGAATTATCTATTTCCTGCCTTAAAGAAAATTACCAATCATGAATGCAACCTAATTATGAATGTTGTAAATATGTTTTATACAACATATGAAACAAAGCTATCCCGTCATCACCAATTAAAGAAAATAAATGTTTATGAGATCGTTTGTACAGAGCAAATTGGAGAGGATTTTGCAAGATTCATCACACAAAGTGTGTTTGATTGATCGCAACTTAAAAATCATAACTTTCTTATTTGTAACCTGATTTGTTTGTCAAATTTTCACTGACCTGTTCCTCTCATTTCCTGCTCCTATTTATACAAACATCTTTAGAGCACATAAATCTAACATTTTATCAGATTCTTACATGTTTTAGACTCTGTCCTTATGTCTGTTTCTAATCAGTTTTACTAACGGAAAAATGCACAATACTTCCATCTCTCCTCAGATGCATTTTGCTGAAAATAGAAATCAAATACGAAACCTAATGAAGAAAATTACTAACAAACTCACATTCAACCCTTAAACGTACGTGGGTAAAGCGGATATCTGGTATCAATGGAAAAAAGACATTTATTTCTCCGCTGCACTACTAAGATATAAAGAAAACATCTTGTAAAGCAGTAACGATGTTCCCCCCCCCCCCTCTTTTTATATTTAAGCATAAACGGAAAGTTTTGTCAAAATATCGAAGCAAACAAAAAACATTTGCAGGAGATATACATTCTGGGCCAACAATATTCGATATTTTGAGCTTCAAATCCAAGGGGACAAAAATTCACCCTCTTTGTGGAACTGTTCGGCCATTCGCCATGTTTTTTTGTACTCGTATCAATTTCACATTTCATTGTTTCGAAACAGAGTTCTAAAAGCCGCCAAAGGACTGAAAAGGGACGACATCTCAGTAAGAGTGGAGATAGAAATAAAGATGATGAATCAAGTCGCTTGGTTTCAACTCTTTCGGACCTACAAGAACGACAGCAGAAAAGAGAAATGCTTTACGACAGTCTTGACAAGAAACTTGCTAAAGGCTCCGCCCATTCTGCAAATGCAGTGGACCTTGCCGATTTAGAGTGCAAGCCAACTCTTGCTAAAGATGATAAGATAGGAAGGAATCTGGAAGGTGATTGTTCGTCTTCGGGCTCCGAGTATGAACAAATCATCCCACCTTCAGGTGATGTAGCAATGCCAGGAAGTGCATTAATAACAGAAGTTGACCATATCAATGATGTTTTCAATTACTGTGCTATTGTTAGATCGGATGTAAGGCCGCTAAGTGCCGGGTCTCACCATAATATTGAAAAACACTCGAAGAACATTGTGCGTACAAATTCAGCAGTGAATAGAGGCTCATACGTTAAACATGGGTTGGACAAAGCGAACTCAAGTGCAGATTCTCAACGGAAATCAATATCAGAACGTCTTTCTGAGCCTGCATTAAACTCAAACAGTCCAAACACCGATGCAGAAGGTACGGACATGCTTCCTGGATCAAATCATAAATTCGTAGATCACGAGTCACATTCTGTGGTTGATTACGGAGGCAGCAGTTCTTCGGAAGCAGATGACGCACCACATCGGCAACAAGAAGTACCACTCTTGATGAAGCATGTGGAAGGAAGTAGCGGGATTAGTACAAGCGTGAAGGGACGGCCAATGCAGCGACCAGCTTCAGCCAGAGCGTCCCTTCAGCACCACTACCGGCATCGGAAGGAGAAGCTTCTTGATGAGATGAGAGTTCATCTTCATAAGAGGGTCAGGGCGAGGAAAGAGAAATCAATCGTCGGTGATGATATCTTCCAGCGACAGATGAAAAGTGGCTTCTGGACATCTGAGGTCCTTTACCATCAATGGGGAAATAATATCCTTTCCATGTAAGTTATTCAGTTAACAATTCGATTTACTTGTCATTCTATATCTGTCCCTTTCTTCTCTCACCTAGTCTTTGATTCCCCCCCCCCACTCTCTCTCTCTCTCTCTCTCTCTCTCTCTATTTATATCAGTATGTATCGAGATATAGTCATCGATATGCTCCCTCTTGTGATGCCACACATCCTTCTCTCTCTGTTCTCTCTCTGTTCTCTCTCTGTCTCACTCTGTCTCTCTGTCACTCGCACCATATCACACACACTCTCTCTCTCTTTCATTTCCTCTCTCTTTCTCCTCCAAAATCTCTCATTCTCTAATTCAACATTATATGCAATCGCGCACAAGGAGTAAAGGGAGTAGTAACTTTTAAAAACAATTAATACACTATCAGTGACCGTTGTCATAGGGATATCATAATTTAATAATTATTATAATGCCTTTCTAATGGGAGCATACCATCTATGTATTGATTTTAGGAATTTACTTACAGCATCATTCAATCGTGTACTATATTATTTCCTGTAAAATAAGTACCGAATATTGGTACTCTTATGTAATTATTTGCATGTCTAACTTTTCACTGTTTTCAAGGCGGAATACTTGGAAAGAAAACACATCTCAAGAGTTTGTCCAATCGTTTCCTGAAGAGCCTCAGCAGCCGATTCGACTACGCGCTCGTCGTCAGGCGATTTGTGTCGACAGGGACAAACGATCTCCACTTACCATGAACACGATGACGTAAGTCTTGCTCTGTCCTGTCTTTAATCCCAAATCTGGCCAATTAATATATTTTACCTCTATAATGGAGACGCGTGTTGGAGCAGTGATCTCGTAACCGGGAAATCCCGGGTTCGAAATCAAGTCGATGCGCTAGTGTCCTTTGGTACGGCAGAAATCCTCATTTCTAATTCCCTCGGAGAGGACTTAAAGCCGTCGGTCCCCTTGTTGCTTACTTTCGAGCATACACATGCTTTATTAGCAGTCAGGTAAAACAAACCATCAAACCAAAATCATTCTCTACACTTGCTTCAAGCCGTCGAAGATGGCGTTAGTAACAAACTCATACTAGTGTCCATAAAGGGACACTTACTCTACGTACGTCCAGCTTTCGCCGGACGTAGGAATGCTGGGATCACGTCATCTTCGGCTTGCAATTAGAAGAGGCCGAGGGAGATCGCTGTGATGGATATTATTACAAATTAAATCGGCCAGATACTTGACTATCCTGTCTGTATGAATTGTATGATACATGAGGAGGAGAAAATTGGCTCACCTGACTCACATTATATTATTTCAATATTGCTACAGAATATGATTACTAAACACCAGTTTTAGGTCGCTTCAAATGAACTGATTAGTCTATGATTGTTTCATACAAGTCATTTGTTCTTTTATTATTTTGCAGACTGTTTTCTTTTCCTCTCCTTTCGTTGTATAACTTCCGTTGTCTGTTTTGTTTCCTTTACATGCATAATTACGTGTATTATTCGTCCGCCTCGTAAGTGTTCTGTGTATTAAGGCAGTAGCCTAGGATTGAAAGTTTCTTTTCAACCTGCTTTCTCTTTTAATTTTCAATACATAAAGTATGTGATTAACAAATTGAAAGTTGTTAACAATATCCCTTACATAAAATACTCGATGAAAGTTGTAATGTTATCATCAATTTCTCTTTAAAAGAAGGAACATGATCATTTTGTATGTGGTTATTGTTTGTTTATTTTTAGTTTTGTGTACTTCTTTTCTGTGTTTAGTTATTTATTCAATTGTTGAGGTGGCATAAGTTGAAAAGTTCATGTGTACCATTATTTAACTCTTGTAATTAGTAGTTATCCTCCTTCGTAAATATTTATATTTGTGAGATTTTGGTCTGTCTCCACGACAGGTTCATGGCTCCTACAAAAGAGGAGGAACCTTCGGGAAATGTGCAATCACTGGACGCTAGACGGCGCTCTTCAAATTTACCCGCATACAACAAAGAGCGAAGCTACTCTGTCGATCAGGGAGGTCTGCCGATTAGATTTGATCTTCAAGAAGATGCAGAGTCGAGGAAAAGAAGAGTAAGGAAAAATAGATAAATAAATGAATACATAAGTAAATAATGAAGTCATTGAATAAATAAACATCTGAATTAATAAATGCATTTATAAATTAATAAAATAATAATTATGTTAGTATTCATATAGGGAGAGTAAAAAAAAAATATATATGTTGATATATTATTAGATAGATAAATCAATAAATTAATTAAAAGACAGTTAAATGAAGAAAATGGAAAATAATTAAAACAATTACTACCATGGATTAATAAATTGTGAAAATTTACATTTTTAAGAATTTACCTTCATTCATCTTGTGTGTTTTCATTTCAATTTCATTTAATTTCTTTATTGTGTCCATATAGGATAATTGTTTATATGCACATGAACAATCTTGCTTCAACATATGAACATAGGAACAACATATAATTGACATTCATAGGACCCTTTTTTAGTATACATCTGATATAAATACATGATCATGACATTTAAATACTCTTTCTTCTTCTTCTTCTTCTTCTTCTTCTTCTTCTTATTCTTCTTCTCTCTTTCTTCTTACATACCCTCCATTTTCTTTTATTCTTATATGCTCTAATCTGAAGTAGGTATTTTGTGTTAAAAATTATTTATTAATATGGTATAACGGTAGGGGTACAACAGTAAAGTAAGTTTACTGAAACGAAATAAATTATTCGTGTAACACGTCAAAGAGGGTATTTTGCATGGTTTTCACATTCTCTTCTCTTTACTGGGTTTCATTAACAACTCTTATGGAAAGCGGAATGAATTAATTAATGCGGCAACTAGTTCTTGCTTTAACAGATCTCAATCTTCGTCCGCTTCTCAGGTGTTTGTACTGGTCGTTAAGGGGGTGGGTTAGATGAGACATAATGAATAGGGCCTTAGATACTAGTCTTTCCTTACATACTACATCTAGGTCAACAGTATGGTTCATTATTTTGCTGGCTTGTTTTACAACCCTTCTCAGCTTTTGTTTGTCACTTTGCCTTGCATTATTAAACCAGATAATGGAATCAAATGTAACAGTACTCTGAATTATCGACTGGTAAAAGAGAAACAGAATTCTATCGTTCACATGAAAGTATCAATGGAATCAATGAAAACGTTGCCCGGCTATGCAACGCTGTTACATCACTGATTTAGTTTAATTCGAAATTTCCTTGCGTATAGTGACTTCAACTTAAAATCATAAAGCATTCCTTCCTTTTTTTCCCGATTGCTGTCAAACTTCCGCCATTCTACTCTTTTTTTTTTCTGCCTTCCTGTTTTTAACAATTTGGACAATCTTAACATTTTTTAGACATTTTGGCCAGGTATTCTATTCATCCTTTTTTTAATTAATTTTGTTGCATGTTTGTCCTGAAATTGTATAAACAAAAGATTGATCTACATTGTATTAATCATATCAATATTGTTATCGCATATAATTTGTTATAGTTGAGGGCGCTCTTCAAAGACACTATCATCAAGGTATATCGAATCACCACAGTCATGATGCATATGATTGAAGCATCGAAAGCAGGAACGTACTCCGGCCTTATGGCATCACTCCACTTCTCACAAGCTGATGGCTCCGAGGATCCGAACAGTTTCAACAAGGAACACTATTCCAGGAAATATGCAGTGAGTACGGTATCCCAGAAGATACAGATTATACACCAAAATATGATAAAAACTTGAATGAATGAATGGATGAATACATTAATGGATTAATGGATGGATGGATGAATGAACGAATGGATGAATGGATAGATGGATGGATGAATGAACGAATGGTTGGATGAATAAATGAATGAATAAATGAATGGATTAATGAAGTAATGACTGAACGAAAGAATGAATGAATGGCCGTGAGCACGTTGTATGTACCTGCGTCCAGAGAAAAGAAAACTTGACTTTTCAAAACGATGACATAAACAGATTTTTCTTATAAGCTAAAAAAAACTGTTCATATACCAGAATTACATCGGAATATTCTATCTTTCCGTAATGATCTATTAAATTAAAGCAATTAAATGTGTAATAAATTCGATCTTAGCTTAATGTTTTCATCGATTGTCACCCATTGGATTTAACTTTGTTATCCTATACTACGTCCTTTTTGTTTTAAGCTTTATATTCCTCTAATTCAATTTCTAATTTCATCGTCATGCCCATAGGCTCATGAGTTACAAGGCGCGGACGATTTATGCGTCTCCCTCTTTCATTTAGTTTCTTTGTTTTCAACTTCTATATTTGTTTTCTTCCTTCAGTTTCCTTTCTTATTGCTTTTTTCAAGCATATTTGAGCTCTTATATATTTGATATACTTTAGAAAGTTATCAATGATGGAGAAAACAAATGTTTTTCAAAATATATTTTTAGGTAATAGGAAATTACATTAACAGATAAGTGGTTCCTTCCTAGCTCTTCAGCTTTTCCTATCTTGAATCATCTTCCTTTGTTTGTACTTTTAGCACAAAACAAAGAAACAATCATGTTTGTTATGATTGAGATTAGGAACAATTGAACACTTGAAAATACTTAGACAGATATCAAGTACTTGTTGTTCACACCCGCGCACAGTCATTTACATTCAAATTAATAATACAGCCTTATGCAAGGGCGGAAAGACACGCCTAATTGCGTGGTTTTTCTTCTTCACAAATTTTAGCGATTGCTTCCAGACAATAAGTGTTATAAGTATTCGTTGCATTATGCAATGAGTATTAGCGTATTATAAGTGTATTATAAGTATAACAATAACCCAGGGCGTTTTTCATCATTTAAATCTTTGACAATGACCATAAGCCATGTAACTGCCTTTTAAATTGTAATTATCACTATTTTCTTCGAACAAGTATTTGAGGCCGCAGACATTTTCATAATAAAAACATATTCATGGAATAATGACAATCCAGAAGACCGACATCCCAAAATACTTTTGTAAAGGCCCACAGCACTATTTAGAGCTACTTGCGCCCTCTATATAACAAACAATGTCTAATCAGTAATCATTGGTCCCCCATGATCCTTTTATTCTTATGTTAATTGAGAGCTGAGTTGATGAGATAAACACCTGTCCAGTGACCTTGCAAGCGGTTCAAATCCCTCCTGTAAACTAGTACAGATACGATTTAAAGGTTCACGGCACCTACATTCGCCCCCGGCCCCCCCCCCCCCCCCCCCCCACTCAGGTTTCAAAATGACCGCATGCGTGTTGCCAAAATGTCCTTTTCGTAACAAAAGAAAAAGGTCGAGCCGTATTGACTTTACACACCGGACTTTTGCTGGAAAGGGGGGGGGGGGGTGCGGAAAAAGGCTCGTATACAAAAGAAAAAGGTCGAGCCGTATTGACTTTACACACCGGACTTTTGCTGAAAAGGGGGGGTCGGTTGGAACACGCATATGCGTACCCTAAATAACACTGAGTGGGGGGGGGGGGGGCCGGGCATTCGCCATGGCCTAGATAGACAAAAAAACAAAAAACGAAGAGTCACATGCAGCCCACGAAACCGACTGCCCCTTAAAGGTAAAGACCAGTATTGGAAACGCCCCAATTTCAAAAAATGAAATGGAAGCTCTCATTATCAATCATGTGAAAGAATATGTTTTGACCAATACATGATGATAACAAATTTGCCGGGAAACCGCCTACTAATTCATATATTTGGTAAATTTGTTTCTCTCATGGTCTGTGAGAGATATAGGGTAGTCCCATATACATCTTTCTGTGTATAGTGCTTGTAACTTTACGAAGAATGGGCCAAATTTCTTATCATTTTGATGATTCCAGAACCTTGCAGATGCTAGATGCTAGATGATCAACCTTTTCTGATCGATTCCACAACGTTTCTTTCACAATGCAATCGCATGACCATAACTGGTCTTTACCTTTAAGACTGATAATGTCTTTCTTGTGGGATACGGCTCTAATACCATTTTACCGAAATAATTACTTTGCGGTTTTGTTACTAATGGTAAAATAAGTAATTTACAAGTCCATTTTTATTTAAATCAGGGAGGAGAAAGGGATTTTGAAAGTGACCGGAAGTATGACAAAAATACTTTTGTTTTTATTTATCCTTTTTCACGGGACTTTATTTTGTTCATATCATAAAATAACAGCTATTTACAACAGTATTTATATACACAATTCATGCAATTGTAACATATCATAAAGGCCTATATTACAACACATGAAACTAATGTAACTTAATCACTAACTAAAATAATGAAAATATTTTTGTTACTTCGATTGTATCGTAATTCTTTTGATTACATTTCAAATCAAGATTGGTGCGAATTTCTAACATTTTAATTATTTTATCAAATACACAGCTTGTATCCTGTGCTTTTCACATTCAAAACATTCTCTAATATAGTTGCTATATATATTAAAGTGAGCAAAGTTTAAAATAAGATTGACAAGATTCATTTCTCTTCTCTCTATTTCATTGACCTATTAAACTATTTTTTTTTCGATCAAAAAGATTTTAAAATTAAACAGAGTATCGATTAATTTGGATACAATCTTCCCAAAAAGCGAAACTATGAATTTTGACCTAAAAAAAAGCACATATTTTTTATTGAAGAATTGTTAATACTTGACTTTAGAATATTAAATTTGCAATATTCTACAATGTGTTAAGCATGTTATCTGCTGTTATTTATGTTAATATTTCAGAATCTACACTTATTACCTCTTCATCTATTCCATCATTTATTTCATTTTATTGAAATAATTTGTCTTGTTTATTGGTTGTGTTTTTGTGTGTTTTTACTTTGTGTGCGTGTTTGTATTTGCTGGTCACAGTGGGAGTTGAACAAAAGTAATGACCAATATCATATGGCTGACGTTTTCCAATAAAATATTTCGCTGCCTCCTTTCTCCTCAGGAACTCCACGTACCACGCTGGGCGAAGCAGATCGCAGCAAAGGAACCGTGGGAGCGCACCCCGGAAGAGATAATTCGACTCTATGGAGTTATGCGCAACATGCGTAGTTTCGAAAAGTTCACCAGAAGAATGCGCATGGAAATTTGCCGTGCAGCAAGATACAACGAGTAAGATTAGCCTGTACTTCTTAAGGATTTTTGTTTCTTCAATTTACGGCCCGCTTTGAGTGTTTTTGTATCAAATGTTAAGTTTTTACCGAAGAATATTAAAAATAGTTTTGCTGAGTTTACACTTTAAATTGAGATTACACTCACCCCCCCCCCCACAAACACATACAATCTCTATCATTCTCTCCCTCTGTTTTATTTCCGTTTCTCTCTCTCTATCTCATTCACTCTCTTGGTCTTTCTCTTCCTCTCTCCACATAATATCTCGCTCTCCTCTTTTTTATTCTCTCTATTTCACTTTTTCTCTTTCTTGCTTTCTTTTTTTCCCCTCAACCTTACGCTTTTTATATCCGATCTCTTTCTCTCCCCTTTTTCTCTTCCCCCCCCCCCTCAATCCATGATGCAGGTATATATTTCTCTTGACATCTATTCTGAAATTTTCCACGTACATACAATAAGATCTCACAAGATAACCCACATCCGAAACTGAGGCCATGATAATACTCCAAGTAAAACAATTTGAATTTGTTTGTATCCATTGTATTGCTCTTTTGTGGAATATACATGACATGGGACTAGTATAAAGGATTAAAAGCCTCACTGTGTATAATGTACGCTCGAAATTCCCTTTTAAACCATTTGCAAGCCACATAGGTAATCTACCTGTGCCAAATTGTATTTATCACGTGAAAGATATGTATATGTCTCCGGTGCAAGATTAATTTATGCCAGCGAGAAAAAAAAAAGTGTCATGGAGCTAATCAAGACTTGAATTCGATAATTCAATTTAAGAAACAATTTGTAAAGCAAATGTTTGCAATAAATATTGCGCAGTGCAATTCTTCCGGCAATCGGTACCAACTATATTGTGCAAAATTGAACGTGTTGCAAACGAGCGACTGTACATAGAAGCAAAGAAAACAGCTGAAGTGTCAAAAGGCCACTTTATTATGCTAGTATCAAACGGTGTGTCGGTATTATACAACTTGAAGTCTTTACTTTTGGATATATAAATATATATATATAATTAAAGATAATCAATGGGGCGTCTTGCCTAGCTCATAATTATATTGGACTTGAAATCGCCCGGGGAGAGCTTAATATTGATGATATTGAAGTAATTTGCTCATCTCCCGCCATCGTCAACCGACATAAATTATAAGGCATAAACAAGTACCAGGGAAATAGTAATCAAGGTGGATTTGTTTGTAATTGGAAAAATGCGGTCTTCGATTATCAGTTATAGCTCAATTTCCGGCTGCCTTCTGAGTGAAGATTTTGAAGTATGTATTTCTAATCTACTTTTTGATAGAAATAGTAATTGTGATTATGGTACACGTATTATTATTATATATTATGCTCCAATTCTGCTGGGCTGACGATGGTCTGGTTCGTTTCAGTGTTAAATAGAAGGTTTAGTTTTGGAAAGAGGTTACCGATAATTTGTGAGCCTTTTCATTGTTTTTTTTATTCAAGTGTGGAAGAACTTTAGAGGAAAAATACTCACTGAAAAGCATTGCTCTTCAAATGCCTTCAGATTCTAAATATGACAAGTAATAGCTTACAAATTAGGCCACATGTATGTGTAGTCCCATATACATCCTTCGGTTTACAGTGGGCCAAATGTCTTATCATTTTGATGACTCCAGAACCTTGCAGTACACACCAATATTCATAAATATGCTGCATGATCAACCTTTTCTGATCGCTTCCACGCCGTTTCTTTCACAATGTAATCGCATGCCTGACCAGAACTCAACTTTATCTTGAAGAGAGATATGCCAAAATGAAGTTGGGCTAGAATTTCCCTCCATATCAAATTGCAACAATTCTCCATTAACATGGTGAGGTTCGCGCACTCAGTCCAATATGAAGACACTGAATTTCAATTTTTTTTATCTCTCTTTCATGAGTTCCTATTCGTGTTAGCTACATTATTTTAACCTTAATATCTGTATTTTGGTTACAATAAATATCATGATTAGGAAGACACAATATAAACTGGAATGAGGAAATGTATGAAGGATTTTGTGTTGGACTTTAGTTTTATAAGAATAATGCCTTTGATGCATGTTCAACGTAACATCAATTATTTATCGTATGAAGTCATATTTTTATATTTCTAAATAATAAATATAAATATGTTTCAAGTAATTAATATAACAAATGTTGCAAGTAATTAATATAAATATTTTGCAAGTAATGATAGGTCAATGTATACACCTTTCGATTTGAAGACATAGAGAAAGATACAAAACGGCTCACAATTGTGTAGAGTAGCAATATTGACTTAGTATGACAATCTCTCTCGCTACGCGATCGTAAAGTTATGCTATTAATATGAAAGGCAGTCGAACATGGGAAAAATAATTTGCGCAGCACCTCTCTTGCCAGTTTGTCCAGGACCAACAGTTGATTTAGGACACTGAAGCGATCCACGGCGAGACGGCCCGGTGGCCAAAGCCGCCCCGCCTAGTACCGACTCAGAAAATGTTAAAGTATAACTTTAGTTCTTGAAGTGTAGAAAACGAAGATAAATCAAAGTCACTAAAACAAATTCTTGAATGGAGTTGAAGATTTATTAAAATAAACGTAGAATTAATAAAATCACGAAGTTCATGTTTTGGGGCTGGGCAACCCAATTGAAGCAAATTAGCAACTCATGTCGGAATCGTAACGGAAAAGAGGTCCCGCTCCAGAGACGCACCTCGGTTTTTATCCCCCCCCCCCCCCCCCCCCGAACTGACACGCCTCGTCCTCCCAAAAATTGAGGCGTGTCACACAGACGCTTTGCGTAATATCAATCCACCCATAATTAGTTTCCGTATTAAAAGGTCCTATATTTCTTGGCGAATTTACCCCCTCGGATATAAGGCGCTCTGGATGATCCGCATCTCTATTCCTCACATACTTCTTTCACGCACCCACCTGTGTCTCTTACATTCTAATCTTTCAAACAAGAGATGCAAATCACCCGGAGACCCAACAACCCTGGAAATTAATTCAATGAATATAAAAAGGGATAAATGTTGCTATGTCCGTCCACACTAGCGAGCCCACATGCTTTTGGCTATTACACACCTGTAATCCTCACTTCCTCTCTCATACTATTTCGATAGTGTGAACAGACCCGGCAACAAGGAAAAACCCTTCCAATTGTAATACAAATCTATTTCCCAAATTTGCCCAATTAAATTTAAGTCAACTGTGGCGACACGCCCAGCGACACCTAATCCAATCGGCCAAGCCGAAAAAGTAGAGCCAAAGTTAAGAGCGCAACGTCTCGGAACAGGTGTTAAAAATAGCATACAAGGAATTCACCATGTATGTTTGTAAACATAGTTCTAGCGAAATCTACCAGGAATTTGCCTTGTACATGTACGTCAATGAACCTTTGAGGAAAACGTAAACACGAGAATATCCATATCATTACAACACAATACTTATATATAAAAAACTTGTTTGCCATGTTATGAACATTAAAATATTGTTATATCATATATTTGTGATCTTTACCATCTTTACCATGCTTTCAGATGCGGAAAGGGGCGTGTCATCGTAAGGCAAGGTCACGTGGGCTTCAACTTCTACTTCATCTTCTCCGGCTCGGTGTTTGTTCAACTCGATATTCTGGACGAGTCTTCGGGTGTGATGACCACTAGTAACGTCAATACGCTGATGAGAGGCTCTTCTTTCGGGGTCTGTCTGTCTTCTTCTTCTTCTTCTTCTTCTTCTTCTTCTTCTTCTTCTTTACTTCTGTTACTTCAACTACTACGACTACTACTAATTCGCATCAGTCTTCTTCTGCTTCGTGATATTTCTCATCCTCCCCTTTTTTGTTCTTCTTTTTTTTCTGTTTTTTCCTTTATTCCTTTTCTTCTTCTTCTTCTTCTTCTTCTTCTTCTTCCTCCTCTTCTTCTTCTTCTTCTTCTTCTTCTTCTTCTTCTTCTTCCTCTTCTTCTTCTTCTTCTTCTTCTTCCTCTTCTTCTTCTTCTTCTTCTTCTTCTACTACTCTTAAAACTAAAATTGCCATTATAAATATTAATACTACCACCACCACCACTACTACTACCACTACTACTATTACTATTACTACTACTACTACTACTACTACTACTACTACTCATCCTTCGATAATATTATTTGTTATCATTATTGCTACTATAATTATAGTTCATTAGAATTGAGAAAAATATATATCATTATTGTTGTTATTATTGTTATTATTATTATCATTATCATTATTATTTTAATTATCATAATTATATTTATAAATGTTATTGTTGTTAACCCTGTTTTTATTCACCCTTCTCCACGTTTCTATTTAATTCCTCTTTTCTTTGTCAACATTTTCAAGAACGGTGTGTTTATGCTTGGTCATCATTTATAAATGCAATGTTTTTATTTTCATTGTTAAGGAGTTAGCTCTGCTTAGTAATGGACAACGCACCGCGTCAGTTATTTGCCGAGAAAACACCGAAATATTTGAGATTGAGAAGGAAACGTTTTTGGAAGTTTGTCCAGATATTTTCGACAACGAACTAGCAGAGAAGATTAAGGTTGCAAAGTAAGTTTTATTTTTTCATGTTTTAGACAACATAACTTTAGATCCTCGGTGGCAACGGGTGGCACAGAACAGTATATGGCGGTGTGACCAAAGTTCGCGCGTGACCAAAGTTCGCTTTCTCAAAAAATCGGTAAGATTTCGAAAATCTGATATCACCAATGGAAAGAGGGTCATAACATTACCCTGAAACGAAATTTTCTTTAGAATTGGGTGCGAAATTGTGAAAATATTGACAAAAGATCGGCAAATTTTGCAGTTATTTGCGTCCGTTCCGAAAAATTATCAACTTACCGATAAGGGTCTGGAAATCTTCATTTTGAGATCAGAAATCCTAAAAATTGTAAGTAAAGAGTGGTACTAACTGATTGTACGATATCTTGCCTTGCAAATTATGATATTACCTTATTTTTGATGGATCGCATTTTTTGATAAATCAACTGTAAACCACCTTGCGTGAAGTTAGGTCTCATTGTTTTTATGACTTTTTTAGATGCAGCGCGCACGCACGATCGGACATCGAATTTTTAGATCGCGATATCTCCGAAATCCTTCGACGGTAAATTTTTCTAGTTGAACCAATCTGTAGTAAAAAACTTTGCTGTCCATTTGGTAATAATTGAAATAAATAAACTTGTGTAGAATGTGAGAAATCATAGATCGAATATCACATTTTGTAAGCTGTTCTAAAATGTCCGCGAACTTTGGTCACCCCTTCATACACCAGTTCACGGTTGTGTGCGCAATTTTAAACAAAGCTAATGACCTAGTCATGTATTTATGCGTAAATTAAGATTGCGCCCATGCAAATTATGATGACATCACTGCCTGCGCGCTGCGTTGTGCGCGCACATCATCATTTGCATGGGCGCAATCTTAATTTACGCATAAATACCACTTACCTCGGGCCATTGGCTTTGTTTCAAATCCAATGACCCGAGGTCAATTGTCTGCGCATGCGCACTGATACAACCGTAAACTGGTGTATTGAATATTTAAACAGGTGTGATATTAACCCATTGTCTCCTGAAACCGGGTGGTCCTTGTGTTAAGCCTATGATAATTAGAGAATTCAGTAGCTAACGGATTAACACGTTATTCCGTGATGTGTATATGTGTACACACAATGTGTGTTTGTATTGGTAAGAAGGCAAAGTTCAGTTTTATACGACTTCAAACTAATTTGATTAATTATTTTTTTCAAAGATTTGGAAGGATATGCTAGATCAGGTCAATATTAAACCCTAATTGATTTCTTTCTCTTTTTTCTCTTATTCTGTTATTTATGTTTAGTTTAATTCTTGCAGGGTAATATTGTCAGCTGCAAAACTTGTTTGTATTCATATTTCAGTTTGTATTTTTGTAATTTATGCATGTTTGTAATCATGGTTTTCATTTCCAAATATCGAAATTCTCAGTGAACTACCGTTCTTTAAATCCTGGCCCGAAGATCAACTCCGAAGGCTGTGCTTCGAGTCCCCCATCCAGGAGATTGACTTCGGGAAGGTGGTCGAGACGAATCCAGGGACGTCGGAATACTGCTACGTAGTCCTCGAGGTGAGACACGATGTCGTAGCGTATGTCGAGATAGACAAGATTATTGTCGAATGTGTCCCTTGTATCTCTGCCTAGCGGCTAGCCTATAATCTAGGCGGAGTGCCGAGCTTTTTTCTTTGCTGCTAGACTAACCTTAAGCAGAACGTCTGATACGGCGAGACTACGAACCGTGAGCCGCGAAGCGGCTCACCGCCTATAATCACTGGTCTAGCTTTAGTCGTTGTTTTTTTTTTATTATCGACCATGAATCCGTGGCAGTTTTTCGTACGAAAAAACCTCATGAATACGAAATGAACTCAACCAATCAGAAACACGTATGGAGAAGAGTCTATGCATATGCATATTATAAATCACGTGACATTACGTCATTTTCTTCATCCAAGATGGCGGGTAGTTCATGCGACGACGATCTTCTGCGAGAAAGTTTATCATATGCGGCCAACAAACTAGGCATTCCTAATGGAAAATTCAGAGAACTGCAGGAATCCGCTATTCGTAGCGTTATTGAAGCCGGCAGGGATATTTTTGTTGCATTACCTACTGGTTTTGGAAAGAGTGCAATATACCAAGCAATCCCCTTGTGCTGTGACATAGGTGTACCTTATTTGGTAGGGCTGTTGAATGATTCATAGATCCGCCATTTTGAATATATATGAATATTGATTAGCTAGACCAGTGATTATAGGCGGTGAGCCGCTCCGCGACTCACGGTTCGTAGTCTCGCCGTATCAGACCTTCTGCTTAGGGTTAGTCTAGCAGCAAAGAAAAAAGCTCGGCACTCCGCCTAGATTATAGGCTACCTAGCGGCCCGTGTGAGAAGAACAACCTGTCGTTGGGAGCGCCCTGTCAAGTACTAATAATCGTACGTGCGTCAAAGCAGCGCGCGCGTGTCATAATGTGAGCATGTAGTGTGTGCACGTCCGATCCACAGTTGCTCGTATCGCACGCACGGATCAAATAGCATGTAAACAGCAATTAGAAGTCAGCACAGAAGGTGGGCTAAGGCCGAGATATGAAAGGCAATGAATTCTACTGACACGTATTCGCGTATACTGTCATCTCCTACTCACAATAGGGACTCTTAGATTCGCACGAAGACAATGGGGATTGCTACGATCACGTCCTTTTAATGCACTGCCTTGAATGTACGTCATACGTATCAGTCCACGCAAATCTAAAAGTCCCTAATGTCCCGATGTTTCGACAGGCAGGTACCACAATGCATCAGCAACCGATGGCGCGTGGGTGATGATGACTGGGTCTAGGAAATCGCTAGATGTACAGCTGCATCAAAAGATGGGGCGACTAAAAATGAATTACAACAAGGGTAGCGACGTCGGTAGAATTATTTCTATTGTTAAGATTTTTCACGAAAATAACCAAAACAAGATGCAAACAATACTGTAATTCATTATTATACGGAAACCGTTTTGGCATGCATGCGTTGGCGCGTGCTATCAATGGGGACAATCTGATTGCTTTTTGTTTCCCATTTCGTCTTTATTCTCCGTATATAGATTCTCTATAGAATCAATATTCGCAAATATCATATATGGGTTGCATATTCTCAGAATCATGCATTTATTATCGTGAAGTGTCACCCCCACCCCGCACTTTGATATGATTTTGAGGTCACTGGAAAATGAAGGGATATTATTTTGTAATAGTATCACAATCATTCCTTGATCAATTTCACAATTTGAGAGACACACGTTTCATCAACCTCATAAAAACTACCATTGCTTATTTAGTTCGCTCTTATTGTGTAAATCTCCCGCTACTATCATTGTTTTCGTTATGAATTCAATCTCATTCAGATGAAATCAATGTCAAGGTTAAATCGTTATTTATAGATTTCAATTAGAGCATCAGTAATTTCGACATTATGCAGATTTTATTTTCTGCCCGTAAATTTCTGAAGATGTCAATTTGTTGCGAACAAAATTGAAATCCCGTATACGGCATCGATTTTCTGACGCACAATTGGAAAATAGTGGTTGAACGAACTGATGGTACAATAATGGTAGTCCCTTTTGTGTATAGCGCTTAAAGCTAATCTTGAGCTCTTATATGGACATCGCATGTTGAGAGAACATGGCTATAATTCATTTTGGATTGTTTATCCTGCAATAAATTGATTGTTTGAACAATTACAATAAAATAGCCTCACAACAAAATTGCATTTCCTTATCTTTCTATACTCGTTCCTCAGCTCCTATATATCTTCTCCAAAAATCGTTTTGCCACATGTCATTCAATTGTAATAATGAAAATATAGTGTAAGTACTTTTTGTATTCTGTGATAATTTATTTTCCTATCATTACCATAACTCAAGCTTATCTTTAATACTGTGTTTTCAATCGATTTACATCATAAATATTATTACCCTTATAATTCGATAGTGCACACGCCCCGCTCCTTTGGGAGTATTCCGGCCCTTCGCCATTTTATAAGTGCTCACATGCCAGTACAGGCGCATTTGCATTCGCATCCTACCCGGTACCCTTTAGCACAATAGTGGAGAGTAGCAAATGTAGATAAATGTCTTGCCAAAGGACTAGTGCCGCTGCAGGAATCAAACCGCAGGCATGTGGTCCATAGTCCGGTAAAGTATTTACTAGGCAACGACATTTCTACACATGATACTTGACGATAGGAAAAGTGCGATGACATTTGCTGTGAAGGTTTGGGTTGTCTGTACTCTAATTCATACAAATAACAAAGAATATATCATTATATATTTTGGAAAATGACTATTTTCGATAGAATCATGGTTGTACTTTTCAAACACCCTTAAATGAATAATGATTAATAATAGCAATGGGAATAATGATACTAGTAATAATGTGTCATTTGTTACACAAGCTAGTCTCATCAAAATTCATACTGTACTCCGTAAGGGTCCTGTAATTATATTAAAAGTCTTTTTTTTCTCGACTAATCCTTCAAATCATTATATTCGAGTCAACTGAAAGTGACAGTCATGAAAGAACATGCATGTAAATAATTTAACAACAACTAGATATGAATATCTTGGAGGGTAACCTTTTGGGAAAAATCATCACAATATATTATTATTATTATTAATATCATAATCATAATTATTATCATATTAATTGTTATTATCACAGTCACCATCGTCGACGTCGTCGTCATCAGTATTATCATTGTTTATCATAATCAGTATTATCATTACTTTCTTCTTGCTATTACTGTTATTATTACCGTTTTTCTTTCGGTCTTGTTCTGTCCATGTATTGTAGGGAAAGGTGTCTTTGCTGAAAGAATGCGACCTGGTACAGGCTTTGACTCAGCATTGCAAGGAAATGATGACACGTGACCTTGCACCTGACAGGAAAAGGGACGGTCCCTCGGAAAGCTCTCTTAACGAGAAGATCATGCAGAAATTAAAGGCCCTCCTGTTGCCGGAGTGGACTAAAAATGGAAAATGCCACATGTCGATTGGATTGATGTCCGTTGGACATGCCACGGTAAGAATGGATATCCTCATATTAAAAGACTAATTTCAATAGACCAGTTCACGGTTAGCACATTACTGCAATGACCCCGAATATCCACAGATCTTTCAAACCTGAAGAGGTCCCACTTTGTACATATTTAAATAAACACTCCTATAGCGATGGAGGTGCTACATAAATAGCCTTAGTTTGTTCCCCCTTTTCAAAGAATACTTACACCTGTGTATCATGGAGTGCATAAATGAATAATGATTACATAACTTTCAAGAGCACGTATATAGTATTTCGTCTCCGTGCATTTCAAAATTTGTTCTGCAATGACCTTTATCTGCTCATGCTCAGACTGCAACCGTGAACTGGCTTATTACCATAGTTGTGTCTAGTCGTGTTCTCCAGCAGTGTTGTACGTTTGTTGTTGGTGTTGTTGTAATGAATGTGTGGGTGTTTGCGCGTGTATGTATGTGAGTTACAATTCATGAGACCTCCAGGCTACGCTGTCGATCTTGTGGGCCTTCAGAATGATCAATAGACTGACTAACCGCGACTGACATGATTTTTTAATTAATGATTATTCTTGTTTTGTCAGTCCCCTTTTTTTTTAACTTCCCACTTTTTTTAATAACTTTATGCATTGACATTATTTGTCGATTTATTCTTTCATTTCTGCTTAGGCATATCCTCGTCTCATCTATGTGTACACTTTTTTCGAATTGCATTATAGTCATCATTTGATAAAGCTCCATGGGCGAACTGTTATAAAAACGATTTTTTGGCGTACGAATGGTCATTATTTATTTTCTTTATTCTTCTTTTGTTGTATATATGTATTTATATGGTGAGTAATTAATTCAATTGCGAGAATCCTACGTTATGGTAATATACAAGTAATAATTGAAACATTCAAAATATAAATCACCAATAGTTCAATTTTTCACTATTACCGGTTCCAATTTAGTTCATCAGATAGCCAATTTAATCCGTCATTGGTCTGACGAATAACATTAAACCGGTAATAGAGAAGAATTGAATCCTCCAGGATTTGTTTTAAGCTGTTTTAGTTATCATTTCTGTACAGATATATATATATATATATATATATATATATATATATATGTTATATACTTATTTCCAGGTTAAGTCTCTTAATGTCGATAACATTTAAATTGACCTTTGTTCCGTCATCTCGTATTCCGTTTTATTCAATCCTCATTTCGCTGCCCTCTGTCTCTCATTTCTCCTCCGTAGGATCTGCTGCCAATCAAGTTCCGTGACCGGGAGCAGCTCGCTGGTGTTACCCTTGTAAGCCGAGGATGCCGAACGATGAGGGTCACGAAACAACGAATAGAAAAGATGGCGCCGAGGGGGATACTAGATACCTTTCGACAAAAACACAGTACCGTTCTCCCGTATGTAGCTGTGTATTTGTATTGCTCTAATTATTTTTGTTTCGATGAATTTTCCCCTTAAAGAGGAGGTTCATAGAAATATCGAAATTAGGTAAATGATACTTTACAGATCGCTTTATAAGCCCCCACTAGTGTGAGGAATAAATTAAATGCAATTTTGACACCCTTATCAGAACTCACTCACAAAGTGAAATGACGGCGATAAAACACAAACGATTACGGTGACGTGACGTTGTGAACTAACCTACATCACACATTCAAGTCATTGTTGGATGCCCATTATTTTTTCGTACATTTTCCACCAGTGGTGATATTTCCTTCATTTTTGACACTTTAAATGAGACACACCGAATAAATAATACTTTCTACAAATGTGTTTTTGTTTTTCATGTAATTTTCCTCCATACTTTGTGTGTCTTATCTATATTAAAGTGCGAAGGACATTTAGCATGCTGACCTAACAACTCTTCTGGCGCAATATAGGCAACAAATCTACATAAATTGTCCAGATATTTATTACGAACATTTCTGATTAGGCCGATTAATTTATGATCTTTATGATCGTAATAAGAGATAAATGAGGAAAGCGGAAATCGAGAGAGGACCGAGATCAGTCCGGTTTGCGATTCACGGCTAGCTCGAGCACGCGACTTGCTTTGGCAAGCCATATATCGTGCTTGCCCCGGCTCGGCCTCGACTACGGCGGCCCCGACAGCTTAGGCTTGTCCATCGACATTGTACAATTTTTTTAAGTTCTACTTCGAGGTCAAGACTTCCCAAATCTCGATTTTCGATGTCGCTCTCCGAGGTATTTCCTTCTTTTATCACCACAAACCTAAAATCAAATATGTTTTCGTCCATATCAATATTTCCCGGGCATTTCGATGAATATAAACTACGTCAGGTATTAATGCAATCCATGTGTTTTGCACAAAAACTGCATCGCGCACCGTGACGTCACCGAAAAATCAGTGTGTATTACGATAATCATTGTTTTGGGATCTTGAGTGGGTTGATGTTTCCGTCAGTTTTAATCAACTGTTATAATTTTTCGCTCGATTTACAAGTTAAACGAACGTGATATTCTCACGCATTGTAAGTTAACAATGATACCAAATTCTGTCAAGTTTCAAAACAATGAACATTCTCTTTAATAATTCAACGTTTGACGATTCATGACTTGCAATTAATATGTCATTGATTGGTTTGAATTGATTGATTATTGAAAGCTGCCAATGTTTTCTTCTTCACAATTTCACACTGGCTTAATTATTATATATACCCTTTTTTTGTTATTCTACTCCTTTCATTAGTAGTTCAATGTTCGTCGTTCTGATTGAATGTATACGTTTGATTCGCAGTTGAAAACTGCCATGCCTTCGCGGTTTTTGTTAACTAGTATTTAGCAGTGTATTTAGAAATTACATATATCTCTCACTGGTTTTATATCGTTATTCTCAATTTAACCTTGATGTGATTGTATCCCAGTTAATATTTGTTTTACCTTTTTTGTTCATTTACAATTCAACATTGCTACGTATTTATTTCGATATGTAGATGTTACATATTCTGAGTGGATATTCGTAATGTCTTAGTCATAATGCCAATTCAACTCCATTACCGACTTATTATAGGCCATCGATTTGTTTGTTCTTTTGATATTGGTCCCGTTGATGAGAGACTCGGGGCATAGTATTTAACATATCGATAGAGATTCCTTCAGAGGGGGCGGAACATTGTAGACGTGACTTATATCTTGATACCCTTTCCGAACGGTCAGAGTTAAATGGCTGCCTGATTTATCTTCTGCTTTCTTTGTGTTAGGCTTTGTTTTTCGTCCATTTGCAAAATATGACACTATCTGATATATATATATATGATTATTATACATTAGTGTCCGTATACTTTGACATAGGCTCAGTTATTACATAATACGAGTTAACAAATTAATAGGCCCATATAATATACGTGTATATACAGGCGCGTACACAGGGGGGGGGGGGGGGGTGGGGGGTTAAACCCCCCCTTTGGTAATTTTTTTGTGTGTAAACCCCCCCCCTAAAATTCCCTAACCCCCCCCCCTTTCGTTTTTTTTTTTTTAATTAAAAAAAAAAAAAAATTCCCATGGCCGACCTCAAAAAGATGACCTTACCCCCCCCCCCCCCCCCCCCCCAACGGAGCAAAATGTCAAATTTTCAAATTTCGATACCAAAAAAAAAAAAAAAAAAGTGTCCTCTTACCCCCCCACTGAGCGACTTTTCGGCCGGCGCGATTTTCAAATTTTCGGGAGCAAAATATTTTGGGCCAGATTTTAACCCCCCCCCCCCCCTTGAAAAATCCTGCGTACGCCCCTGTGTATATATATATATATATATATATATATATACATAAATAAAGAGAGAGAGAGATAAAGAGAAAGAGAGAATCTTAAAAGACGTTTACGTTTTTATTTACGTTTTATCTACGTAATCTAACACTCAATTAATCGTTCAATAACCAAAGTATAAATGTATCAATTATATTGAAGTTGAACACCAAAATCATTTCCTTTGTTCAATTTCAATTTATTTTACATCGCAGTTGAAGGAAATGATTCTAAAGCAAATACTGAAGTGTTTATTGAGTAGAAAACGTAAGTGTCGTTTAAACTCAATTCAAAGGCCTAACACATGCCAATTGAATTGCACTTAATTTTATGTTTATCGTTTTTCGTATGTTACAGAACCCCTTCAAATGAAGAGCTATTTGAGCGTTTTCTCGTAGACGTAGCATGGCGTCATTACCGCACCTACGTAACAAAGGGTTCAACGGAGAAGTTATCACGTGGAACGGGAAGTACAAAGTCAATGTGGCTCGCTAACTACCTTGTAACGAACGCTCTACTCAGAGACAAGAGAGGGCGTCTTGCGGTGAAGGAAAGATTAAAAGAAATCCAAGAGCGGCATCACAGAAAAACAGAAGACGAAGAAGATGAAGAAGAAAATAAGGTATACATAATTTGTTTTGTTCCTTTTTCGATTTGTTTTTGTTGACATAGGAATATACACGAAAAGTTTCCTTCCAAAATATTTTACATATACATATTTTCTTTAGTATCGAAGTTTAGATTTTAAAGGTACTCACTTAAAAATCCTACGCTTACTATTACGTATACTTTGTAACATTTCATTTTCCTTGAAAATGAGAAAAAAATAACGCTGTTAGACCAACATAAAAGAATTTCGTTCGCTCATCTATAAAACGTTACTAGTCTAATTAAATGCATGACATACTTAAAATATTTTATATTATTATTACAAGACCGGGTTTCTTCTCAAATAACCCCTTTTTCCTGCCTATTTGTTAATTATTTGTGTTTATTTAGTGTTGAGGATGCACCTCTAATTTAGAACCATATAAAGAGTCATAACGATCAAATAGGCCTAATTATAGATCGTTATCATGATTCGCGTTCGAAAACTTGACCGGTTAGGTGAAATGCAAACTATGCTCTCGATGCCTTGGGTCACACCGCCGTATCGACTCAGTAACTGACTCTTAACAAACCAGTTTCTGGTCATTTGAGAAAAATGTGATTCTTTCTTCGGTATGTCGTCACTCAGGTTTTGGATTGTTTGGTGTAACTGGGGTACAACATTTTATACTGGTGTCCATAAAGTTGGAAAAATTGTTTCTTACCTGTTTTCGTGAAATGATTGTGACAATATGACTTATTCTTGATTAGTAAAGTTGATTTATCCTCATAACTCTATGGAACACTTTAATGAGTCATGGATATCGATCAATAACATTATGTAAAGATAAAACATTTTATCAAGATGAATCATGCTGTCAAATTCATTGTATGAAAAGAAGTAAGAAACAAATTATTATACTGTTCTGGACAGCAGTGTATATGTTTATACATCGTACAATACAAACGCAATTCGTCTTTATCTCATTAGCCATGTTTTAATTCGATCTTTTTAATTTTGGTAACAGGAATCTGAAGAGGACCAAGCAAGAATAGTCCATCTAAACAAGCTGAGAAAAGGAACCATCTCACACACCTTTAGTAAGATAGAAGAGGCGTGTAATATATAACTAATCCTTTGCAAGGTCACTTATCTTTTGAATAATGAGAGCTGTTACCAATTAAAAAAGAAGAGTTGTCATTTGAATTAGAGCTTATTACCGCAATAATTATCGAAGATTTGAGGCCATATCGACCCTCATCCTCTTATTTCCGTCCAATGTATAATTCAAATACTGGTATAAAAATATACAAATAATACACAGCAGTGAGGGCATTAGTAAGAATTACCCACACAAGGTACCTTTGGAAAAGGCTAACACGCCCGAGGCGATAGCCGAGGGCGTCTTAGACTTTTTCAAAGGTACCGAGTGTGGGTAATTATACTAATGCCCGAACAAAATGATGTGTATTATTTGTTTTATAAAATTATAACGTGGATCCTTGTTATTTGATCAATCGCCCTCATCTCAAACTCAAAGGCCCGAATTCACAAAGGAGGTTTAAATCTTACCCATGGTTTAAATTCTCATTTACATAACCCATGGTTTAAAATAAGCGCAAATTGAGGCGTACCTTGCCTTGCGCGCGTCTAATATTAGACCTCCGACTTGTGTCGCGCTTATTTTGCGCTAATTTAAGCTAGATGTGGTAATGACCAGTCATTACCCAAATTATGCGTTAGGCAAAATAAATGCCTGGTCACGTGTACGCTTTCAACCAATCATTTGATTAGGAGCTACGTCATCATCTTATATGACCACAACAAAAATTAATGCAGACAAAATACATAATGCGCGACTGATTGATGTGATATCATATAGTTATTTGAAATATTCTTGGATTGAGAAATGTTTTATACATGAATGGGATTTAACTGGGCTCTGTGAAAAGCTGGATTGAATTGCCTATTATAAAACAGATTAAGAGTGGCTCATTAATCCGGTGCCCTAATTTAAAAAATACAAAGAGAACAATTAAAAGGATAGACTATTGAAGAGGTGGGGTTTTACAGATTTATAAATGATAATTGACTGTAATGCATGAACTTGATAGCTTTGGTTGGACACTTAAAGGTGGATGTTGGTTTATCATTTATTTAATCGTAACGATCACGTTGACTTCTGGTCGTGTCATGCGTGTGATTGCATCGTAAAAGAAATTGTGTATAACTGTGGATCGTGTAAGACATATGTGTGTATACTGTGAGTTTTTGGTATCATTAAAACGATAGCAGGTTAGCCCGTTCTTGCTAAGAGCATGCTAAGGGTCACATACACTGTGCACATAAATGTGTAATGTGCTGTGGACCACAATCTTCAGCTATTACTCATCATTTGAAGAGCAATCCCCTTTTTATGTTACGTGATGGACATGTTTTTCAATGCTAATCTTCCACCCAAACATAACAGCCCAACAAGCTCACAAAATTGTGTTCACCTTTCCCAGAACTATACTTCTTTCTCTTTAACTGATAGGAAAAGTCTGTAATTTTCTAAATGTCAATAAAATATTTCATAGATATATTATTTTTTTTTCTCCATTGTTACCTTATAATCGTTGTCTATATTTCCGTGTCCATGATAAACCTACAGACCAAACAGTATTTTGTTTAATAACGCCCTGTTATATGTGAGCCTTATAAGAGCAGTAGTTCATGGTACAACAGAGAAACTGACAGGGAACTCTCCCTGAATTGATGTCAGTATATGACACGTTCGTTTTTGTCAAGGACTGCAGTCTAATTGCTCGAGAGAATGTCCATTAGTTTCATTATTCAATGACCTTATATTACATAGTATATTATATTATATAGTGTCGTGGTCGAGTGGTTTAAGGCGCTTGACTGTAGATGCGAAGGTCGAGGGTTCGAATCCCGACACGGCACTAATATCCTTTGGCAAGATATTTACCTGCACTTGCTACTCTCCACCCAGGTGTTAAATGGGTACCCGGTAGGATGCGAACGTTCATGTGGTTGAACGAGCAAGTGTGCGCCTGTAAAATGGCGACTGGCTGGAATGCTCCCCAGGGAGTGGAAAATGTGCACACATTGTGTGCGGGTAAGCCTGAATCCGATGACCGGGGTAATAATATATCTGTAAAGCGCTTAGGCACATCGTTGGATCGGTGTATTGAGCGCTATAAAAAAAACCGGATTATTATTATTATTATTATACAAATTTATAAGAGAAAAGAAGCCAAATACGAAAGGCAGGTTGATGAGAGCTTAACGAAAACGGACAAACAATAACAAATATATGAAATGTTGATAGATGTAATCATGAAGCTTATTGGCACTTATGGGCATCCATAATTATCATTAGTCCGATTTATTTTAAAGCTTCGCCATCTTGTATTCCTCTTTCACAGTTTGTATAGAAACAAATTTATTACCAATGCTAGATTGACCTTTACAAAAACTTAATGTTTTAAGGGGGATAATTATGAATAATTATTTCATATTGCGTTTGATCTTCCACTATCGAATTTCTTAAGACCTTCTCTAATCTTTTGATCTCATAACTATAATTTTGATAAATAGAAGTTGGGAGTAGAAAATTAAATTTAGATTTAAATTAACAGAAATTTGTGTACCGGTAATGCCAATGTAAATGTGTGTGGGGGGAGAGTTTCTAGACGCCGTTTTTATCGGTTGATAAATACAAATGAAATGTATATCGTATGTATGCTATTGTTTTAATACCGAAATAATACTATATCAATCGAAATGAAATGATTATGTTACACAGGGAGTTGGTGTCACTATGAACATGACGGACAAAGAAAGAGGACAAAATATACAGTTCCTCATTCTACCCTCAACAATTGCTGTGGTAGACAAAGGGATATCCCTTCACTGCTATTAGGTGAATATGCATGTGACACCTGTTCTACACATTTTTACATACTAGCAGTGAAGGGATGTTCCTTTGTCTTCCACAGCAATTGTTGAGGGTAGAATGAGGAACTGTATATTTTGTCCTCCTTCTGTGTCCGTCATGTTCATAGCGTTTGTACATTCAAGTTTTAAAGCCCGCATAAACGGATGTATACCGTGTGAGTCCAAAAAAATTTACACCTAGAAAATTGCTAATAACTTTTAAAATCATCTATGAACAGTAAATTATTATACAGCTTATGAAAGAGTGTTTTTCCCCAAATCATTTGGTATCATTTTTGTGTGGTATGTGTTCACGCTTGGATGAACAGGGGGCATTCTTTGCGAGAGTGCAAAAATCTGTTCATAGATGGTTTTTAAAATAATTAGCAATTTTCTAGGTGTAAACTTTTTTTTGACTCACACTGTATACGTACACACAATCATATGAAATAAAAGTTTGGACCGAACGGTTCAGCTGTTTTTTTTGGAGATATTTTGCCTATGATCACATTTGAAGGGCATTTCATTCCCGGGGTTCATTTTGTTTTATTATTTTCCAAAGCAACGTAACACATTTCTAAATCCTTTCGCATGTGTTATTCAGACGTGACTGTTTGTATTTCGTCGAAGCGTGAGCCATCCAATTCATAAGTGTTACTTATTATGTTGAACAGGTCTATGTCATATTTGTCACATTCAAGTGTCTCCCGAAATGCGTTGTTTTTATAAATTGTTTGTATTATGTAAAAAAAATTGTGCATTATATAAAATATACCAATTCATTTCAAAGTTGTAATACATTTTTGAAGTTTATTTGATTGACGTTTTGAAATTGCGACTGATATTCATTTCTGAAAGTGACTCCTGTTCTATAAACATCCTTTGTTAATATTTGGATCGATTTACTTGTTCTCTCTCTCTCTCTCTCTCTCTCTCTCTCTTCTATTTATCTCTCTCTATCTCTTTTTCTCTCTATCTCTTTTTCTCTCTTTCTCACTGTTCTCTCTCTCTCTCTCTCTCTCTCTCACTCTTTGCTTATCCATAATCGTTTGTTCCGTTCTACTTAAATTTCCCACTCCCACTCTCTCCCTCTCTCTCCCTCTCTCTCCCTCTCTCCACGATTTCTTAGAAGGCTAGGATTACCTAATCTTCTCGAGTGGGCTTATTATGGATTTTAATTGTATTTCAATTTCAAATTAAAACAAATGAAGATAGGAGAGCTTTTGTCTTCTTGTTATTATTATTATCCTTCTTCTTCTTCTTCTTCTTCTTCTTCTTCTTCTCCTTATTTTTCTCCTTGTTCTGGCTGCACATGATGGTTTCGAAGTAAACCTAATTTCACGGTCTATTGGAACTTCGATCTTGGTGGAATTATGTCAGCAAAATCATCCGGGTACTCATCCATGCTAACAATATTACAACAACACTGTAATAGAAAGTAATAAGATAGACCGAGATTATTTGAAATACATTTTAATTTGATGAAATACATCTACTAACAATAAATGAAATCATTGCATATTGACAACAATTAAATACCCCAATAATCGATTTATCTGTGCATACTTTTTACACATTTTAATATGTTCCTATATACAAACTATCCTGTTCTATCATTGCGCGTCTACATTTGACATAGTTTAGGCTCTGTAGCAGGTTTATAAGAAAGATTAGTTGTAAATGTTCTAAAGTTCGAATAAAGTTTCCGGAAAACATACAAACCGGCAGATCTTTATGTCTCCTTTTGATGACGATAAATCTGGTTTTACACGCTCGTTAGAATAACACACTACATATCCAACATTATCAAATGTTAACATACGGTGTCGACACATTTTCCAACTGTTCGTCGTGATTGAAAAGGTACCAAAACAAATTAAACTTTGAAGGATTCTGTTCAGTCGGAGACATCCATTTACTAATGTTAATCTTACATGTTATAATCGAATAAGAAAAATGGTTTCATTCTGTAAAGTCACAGGTCACCGATTGGAAATTGTCCTGATTCTGTTTACGAGACTTATAATTCACCTTGTTTACCATGTTCAAAGTAATACCAAATAATTTGATAGTCGTCTGGATAACCGAACACAGTTAGCGTCTTTCATGAATATTTATCATTATTACGCGCGACTACCCGCAACAAATGTAACTCGAAATATATTAATGTTTGATTCTTTAGTTGTGCGTCCAGTAGTAAATAACATTTTACAAATTA